CTCATCCGCATAATCCGGATTATCCTCTTCTAACAAGTCGTTGATCCTTCATTGTCCTCGTAATCCTTCATTAATTGGCAAAATGAAACTAGTCTCAGGACGCCGATATTTTTTTTCCTCTCAACCGTGAAGATTGGTAGAAAGGTCGGCGTTATGAGCCTGAACACTGTTCTTAATTTATCATTAAAGCTTGCTGTATAATCCGGACTCTCTCAATTACGGATTAGGGCCTAATAACAGTCCCGACAATCAACTTGCTATGAGAAAATTTGGCTCATCTACGGTTATATACGGTTGACCAATCCGGACTGCTTTATCATCCGGACAAATGAATCGGTCCCAGGCCAGTCCGTAATAGACAGATTCCACTGTACTTAATATTCGTCGTGGCTGCTCTGGTTATGTTTCAAGAATGTCAACACAGTATCCGCCTAAACCGCTGGGATCCGTGAAGATCCGGTTGAGAATTGATCTTCAGTAACACATGCTTGTCGTAAGAGACGACTAACGGGATCGGGTGGTCAGGTTCGCTGACTTTGCTGACAAAAAAAACTGTATATGAAATTGTTTTACTCACATTGTTTATTACGTTCATCTGTGGCAGGGTAATGATTACCTTTGACAGAGGTTTCTTTTCCAGATCTTGTCTCAAAACATCTCCGGTCCTGCATGATCGCCTTGCTGGAACGGGAGCCTTTAGGCATCTGAAGTTTTAATTTTATGTACAATGTGGAGACCAATGTGCAAATATGTAGGAAACGTGCTTATGTTTGATTGTGCATGTCATTTTTCATGTTGCCGAACGTTTGACTCAGGAAAGGGAATCTTTTTATTTGTTCGCGTGTTGTTTAAAGCCCTACTCAGCGATATTCCAGCTATATGGTTTTTCTGTAAATAATCGAGTCTGGACAAGACAATCAAGTGATCAACATCTTGAACATCGACCTACGCAATTGAGATACGATCATTCGTGACCCACTCGTGTTATTCCGGGACAAGCGGAGGTTACGGAAAGGGGCGAGTGGTGACGAATGGGGATACGATGTGTCAGTAAATCGCTTATTACGACAAGTAACCTCCGACGCCTGTCAACAGGGGCGACTTTGGGCAGAAAGCGAATGAGAAGTCGAATACAGTACAGAGCGTAGTTTAAATTTCTCTTTGCTTTGGATGAAAGTCACTTTGTATATTTTGCGTCGCAATCAATTGTGTGAAGTCACATCAGTGCGATGCGGTAAAGAACTGAATTTTGTATGGTTAAATATATTTTAGTAAGGTGCCCATGAAAATGTCATATATGATAGCAAAATATAACGATATGAAACAAATCAACTTCTAAGCCTTTTAAAGGGTTAGGGTAAGTGGTTTCAGGTAGATATTGAACACGAGTTAAATCAAAGTCAATTCTGCAGTACTTTAGCCATATCGTGACAAAAACTAGCATCTATCTCTAAACTTATACTCCTACTCAATATGAAAACGCGTTGAAGATCACGAACAACTGACGGTTGTATTACTATATAATAGCCAGTTTTTGCCCTCACTTTTTGACAAGATTAATTAACAAAAGCTCGAGATTGTTTTGATACGTATTATACCATACTTGTTGACAAAGTATGCATTTACGGCCTATATACATATTATACGAACGTTTCATTTTATTCTTGAAATTCTTTACAAAAACATTAATAACATGCAAATAATTGGTATATTTGTCCATGCAGGATCTATAGCCTGGGACAGTCTCCCGCAGAGCCCCAGAGACTGTTGTGACTTTAATTCTTTTAGATCCAATCTAAAAACACACATGTTCAAGATAGCCTTTGAACTGTAGCTCTTTACCATTAATCTCATCTTAATCTTGTGCGCTTTGAGCATGCTTTAGCATAGATATATGCGCGTAACAAATATGCTATTATTATTATTATTATTATTATTATTATTATAGTTGTGTCTAAACATGAATATTACTTTTGCTCTTATCGGTTTACTATAGAACATTTGTCAGAAATATTACTTTATAATATTATATGAAGAATATACTATCGAAGTTGACAAAAACTAAGCATTTATGGCATTTATTTAATCATTTTAAATATATTGGGGCATTTTGACTACTTCCTGAGGCAATATTTGACAAAACCTGGGGCAATTTGACCCAAAATCCGGGGCAAATTTGCTAGGGCATTTTGTTGCAGGGGCGATTTGACTGGCACCGCCAGGGACTATGGGGACTTACAGTACATTTGCGACCAGCATAGACATAGCTTGATTTACGTCATTCCCTCAATTGTTGGCGAGTTTTGTGGAAGTTTGCCATTAATAAAAAAACACATATTCTACGATTAAAACTACAGAGCATGCGCAATACTTTGAATGAAATGGGACTTACTTATCCTCTCAAGGAGACAATTATTTTACGATAATTCAACCCCTTCAAGTACAGTCACTAACTAGCAAAGTTATTTAGTCAGTGTAAGAAATAAAATTCCCTACTCCTTACAATACATATAAAATGTATCAGTTAAAACGATTTCTTTCAAGAAAAACTAAGAATTAAATGAGACTGTTCATATTGTGATATATTGACTGGAAGGTTTCTGCCAAAGTGTGTACATCATAAATTCATAATAGCTCTCTGTGTGCAACATCATCTTATTAGTTGCTGTTACACCATACTTTCAGTCTCCCCGTCCCCATTGTGTATGGCTGTATGCCAATGATCTACAGATAAATAAAATGATTTAGAACCTTAAGGCCAGACCAATTTTATTTCTTGTTTTACGGATTCTTGTCCTCAGATAACCTAAAGGCAGGAGGGAAAAAAATAAAAATAAAATCACCAGTCAAAGTAATGTTCCTTCTAAATATTAAAAGTATTTTACTTTTGGTAATTTGTGAAGTGTATATGGGGGCAAAAAACAATTTTTAAAAAAATCTTCGAAGTTTACATTTTTGGCCGATGAAATACATTATGATTTTATTTTTTGAGCGGGGAAAATTATTATTATTTTTTTTCTTCTTCTTGAAAACATACGACCGGCGGATCCGTAAAACAAGAAATAAAATTGATCTGGCCTAGTGTCAAATATTTAATTGAAGTATTGCAACGAAGATTTGCGAACATAATGAAAAAGGTAACAGTATAACTTGATTTTCATGGTCAGTGTTGTTTGCTTCAGCAGAGTACTGGTGCTCTTCAATACAGGATGGAATTATTGTCACTATATGTCAGTGATTCATTCAGATTCAACTCCAATATAAAACATGACCTATGGCAAAATGAAACAAAAACATTATTTAGGTGAACTACTTGAGGTTAAAAACTCATGTGACCTCCAATGACTAAGATCCTTGACAAGAATGTCATTATACAGTCCTACACAATTTATAACACTTAGGTCTTTATGATAAATTGATAACATATGTCCCATTATGAAACAAACAAAAATAATAAAATGATTTGAATTGTGAAATGGTCACTCAGAGCCAGAGGCTCTGCTAATTAGTCCAAATAAAACATTGGCCCATTTGAAGCCGCTTAATTCCTCCAAACTGTCACATATGAAACCATTAAAACCCACAAAACTTGGTAGAATATTTGTCTCTTTTGGAGCCACTTATAAAGATACTTCCACTTGTAAAATGTTACATGAAACCAACAGAAATAAAAGTATATTTGACACTTTTAGAGCACATATTGTTGCCCTGGAAGTCAAGGGCAGATAATTCAAAGGGGGCTAACTCTGGATGACCCACTATATTGCAGAATCTGAACCATATTGCGATAATCGTATCGCGAGATACTGTACCCTTATATACCGGTAATATTGCAGAGCCCTATTATATACAACACTACACACAGTATACCCCCAATATAAAACCTTAAACGATTTTCAGATTCTTTGTTATTCGTCGGTCGAGTCTGTCATGAATATTCACGGCGTTAACATTTTAATATTTACATCCAAAGTGCGTTTGATCAGCAGCGATCATGTTGCGTTTTAAACAGCTGTGTGCAATATCCATAATTTTAATACAGGGAGTTCACTTTGCTACGGTTTCATTATTTTTGCATATATAGTTTAGATTTCAAAGCCTGGTTGTTTAAACATGTGCTCATCACTACTAAGCATGATTTTGTACATGGTTGAAACAATGGCGGTGACGTCACTAATCTAGATACGCAATAAGAATATGATTCTTATATTGCCTGGTTAAGACATTACCTGAAAGTTGAAAATAGTGTAAGTCTTGTCACTTACTATAACACAGCTCCTTATCTGCTCTTTGCTATAAAACTGTGGTAAGTAACTACAGTAGAACAAATATTCCGCTTAAAATCCGCAACCGTACCGTATTAGTTTTGCAAGCATATCGCATGATTTCCGCAAACATACTGGGTATTTCAGCAAAGATACCGCGTGAATTCCACAAACGTATTGGGTAATTTCCGCAAACATACCGCATGAATTCCGCAAACATACCTCGTCAATTCCGCAAACATACCGCGTGAATTCCGCAAATATACCTCGTCAATTCCGCAAATATGCCTCGTCAATTCCGCAAATATACCTCGTCAATTCCGCAAATATACCTCGTCAATTTCGCAAACATACCTCGTCAATTCCGCAAATATAGTCGTCAATTCCGCGTCAATTCCGCAAATATACCTCGTCAATTCCGCAAACTCACCGCGTGAATTCCGCAAACGCACCTGGTTTATGCCGTAAATCAACAGCGACGATTCCTCAAGCGAACTGCGTTAGTTTCGTTACTGTAACGCGAATACATCGCGATCGTGTCTTTGGAGTACCGCGATGCGTTTGCAAACGTCTGCTGCGAAAAAGAGGTACACGGTTGTGAGCAGTAGTGTATATTTATATATATATATATGATATATATATATATATATATATATATATATATATATATATAATATATATATATATGAGGTAATAAACTCGCGAAATACACTCTCTCTTTCATTCTTTATACAGACCTATAACAATGATCGACAAACTCCAGACTCAGCGGGTACGGGAACAGCGTTCCTGTGCGGAGTTAAGGCCAATCTGGGCACTCTTGGCTTGTCCGGCGCTGCTAGAAGAGGAGACTGTTCAAGCGCAAAGGGGGCGGAAGTGACGTCAATTTTAGACTGGGCAATTGCAGAGGGTAAGTGTAAATGTCCTACGTGATATTCAGAAGGGTTTAGCATCATAGACAACCTAAAACATACTCCCTCATAGTCGTTGAAGTTGCACCGGGGATGAGATTATTCCACCCGTGGATGTTCGGGTTAGAATTGGTCTTCAGCATCCCATGCCTTTCCTAAAAGAGACAAACGGAATCTGGTTGAACAGGTCATCTGATCACATTTGGTCTTCAGCAACCGATGCTTTAGACAAACAACTAGTCTCTGAAATGAACATATTTTACAAAATAAAATAGTTCATAGTAAAACAAATAAAAAATGATGAAAAGGAGCCCTGAGGCTTTCTTCATTTGCAGACCTGAAGCTGTGGAAATGAAGACTTGCCACATTTTCTTGACTTGCGTGGGCTTTCTTGGATATATTTGCTTCAGGGTCTGTTTGAGAGACTACCGATGCTTGTAAGAGGCGACTAACGGGATCGGGTGGTCAGGCTCGCCGTCTTGTTTGATGCATGTCGTCATCTCCCATTTGCATATGTCGGTGCTCATGGTGTCGATCACTGGATTATTTACAGACCGTTTTTACACAGCAGGAATTAGACGCTAAACATCAAACAATAAATCACTCAATGGATAAGTATCTTGTCAGTGTAAAGAGGGGTTCGGGCGTCCTGGCCTTGTTGTTTACTGCGCTATAATTTGCTGTTCAGAGTTACTCCCCTTAGTCGTACAAGAATCCGACAAAAGTTCGAATCCCAGTTTTAGGCTGAGCCTTAGTTTGTCAACACCTAGTCTGTGCTCGAGTGAGTGAGTTTATTTTTACGCCGCACTTAGCAATATTCCAGCTATATGGCGGCGGTCTGTAAATAATAGAGTCTGGACCAGACAATCCAGTGATCAACAGCATGAGCACCAATCTACGCAATTGGGATACGATGACATGTGTCAACCGAGACAGCGAGCCTGACCACCTGATCCCGTTAGTCACCTCATACGACAAGCATGGGTTGAAGACCAATTCTATTCTGTATCTTTACGGGTAGGTCTTTTACAAATTGGACGAGGTGACATTGTACTAAGACACCTTGACATATATATTTTCAAGTTCAGTCGATTTGGAACCAAACACATTCAAATAGAGCGCTTGCATAAGACTGTAGCAAACACTACTTTCAATGCAGGTATGCTTTTTAACATTACTTGCCATTCATACATTCAGGGCAAGGCAATGTGTCAGCACGCCCCAGACTGTGACATGACGGCAAAAATCAATGAATGTGCATCATGAACATATTTCAGATTGGTCACAATATTTCAACAGATGCTATCGGGGTTTTCTTGTATGTAGGCCGGCATACAACATGAATAGAAGTGAATAGCAAGGGAAGTACTTTGGATTAAAGTCACGTTATTTCTGCCCCGGGTGGTCGGACTTGAATGCGGAACAGAAATGCTTTAGGTCGTCGGGTTATGTCTGCTCGTTTATTACCGGATCTTGAAATAACCCATTTGTTCGGCTTTCTAGTACCTTTTTGAGGATATGTGAGATCGCGGCTGGATACTGCAGCTTGCGGCGGTAATAGTTATTCATCAATGTTCAGCTAGATCTCGGACCGAGATTAAAAGTGTGTATATAGCTTGGCGTGGGGTGGGGTGTATATGGGACTGGTTGGGGTGTGTATATAGGGGAGGGTGGGGTGTATATAGGACTGGGTGGGTGTATATGGACTTTGTGGGTTGTGTATATGGGAAGGTGTGGGGTGTATATGGAAGGGTGGGGTGTATATGGGACTGGGTGGGATGTATATGGAAAGGGGTGGGGTGTATATGAGACTGAGTGGGGTGTGTATATGGAAAGGGGTGGGGTGTATATGGAAAGGGATGGGGTGTATATGGGACTGGGTGGGGTGTGTATATTGAAAGGGTGGGGTGTATATGAGACTGGTGGGGTGTGTATATGGAAAGGGGTGGGGTGTATATGAGACTGAGTGGGATGTGTATATGGAAAGGGGTGGGTGTATATGGAAAGGGATGGGGTGTATATGGGACTGGGTGGGGTGTGTATATGGAAAGGGGTGGGGTGTATATGAGACTGAGTGGGGTGTGTATATGGAAAGGGGTGGGGTGTATATGGGACTGGGTGGGGTGTGTATATGGAAAGGGGTGGGGTGTATATGGGACTTGGTGGGGTGTATATGGGACCAGGTGGGTGTGTGTATATGGCTTGGCGTGGGGTGGGGTGTATATGGGACTGGGTGGGGGTGTATGTATGGGTGGAATTGGCGGGTGTGGGATGGGGATGAGGGGATTCAAGGGCTACTACAGGGATAGTTTTGTAGTCTCACGGGTAGGGGCAATGAAGGAGGCAGCTCGGTGACACATACATTTTTTAATCGTCACGAAAAATGCGTCATTGATCTATTGTCACTCATTTTGCCATCATCTGGTCGTTGATATTGCCTGGGTACAAGTTGTTATTAGCCGAACTGGTCAAATACTTGATGACCAGTAATAATGTACGCGAGCCTGGCAGCTGACATCCTTTCAAGCTATTGATACTGACTCAATCCACTGAGCTATTGATACTGACTCAACCCACTGGAGATCCATGTTCTATAACCGGCTGCAATATTGGAAGTATTCTTGTTTTAGTTTTCTGGCGTTCTCGCCTGTCATTTAGTGTTCAGTCAGAAGACAGTAGACTTGACCAGATGTTTGGTGTTTGTTCCTGACCCAACCATTCGAAAACCAACCAGAAAACCAACCAGAAAACCAACCAGAAAAATAGTGCTAGGAAATTATAAAAGTATCCCATGAAGCCAAAAATCCTTCACAACGCTAACTGAAGATCTAGCATGACGATCCCAGTGAGTGATAAGTTTTTCCAAACTGTTTGAAGTCCAGCATCCAAAAATAACCGAAACCGACCAAAGCATCCCTTGTTTATATTTATGTGTTCGTTGAACATCGATCTACACATTTGGGATACGATGACATGTGTCGACCAAGTCAGCGAACCTGGCCGCCCGATCCTTGCGACAAGCTTGGGTTTTCTGAAGATCAATTCTAACCCGGATCTTCACGCCCCGTGCTTAACAAATACACTGACATTATTTTTATCTGTAGACAGTTTGTTGTGTTTAATGATTACCCATCATTTGCTGTGGATTTTGTTCTTAACAACTGACCTGTTTCCATGGTTACAGGAAAGTCTGTCGGAATTGTCACTACTACACGTGTCACCCATGCAACGCCCGCCGCCGCGTACGCACATTGTCCCGAACGGAACTGGGAGTCGGATATTTTAGTTCCCTACACAAACGAGACATGCAAAGACATTAAAGATATTGCTCTGCAACTCATAGAGAAGAAGAAGATTCAGGTACGCAAAGAAACACATTTATTTGGAAAACTCATGAAATAAATACATCAGAACTTAAGAGTTATTCTAAAAGATCGTCAATATCTGGAGAATTGCGTCCTACTGCTGTAATTAAGATACTGAATTGACATTTGAATGTTGCAAGTGTTATACCAACATTGATAGAACAGTTTGATTGGAAGAGAAGAAATGTACTTTTCATGAAGGCCGAGTATGTTGAAAACAGTAGAATGGGCATCAGGTAATCTGGATCCTACATTCATATGTAACGTCAGATAAATTCATACGCGCGCACGAACGCACGCACTCAGCGTCTTCGGTGTTAGGTCAACAATGACATCTGTATTACGTCACTTCCTTCTGTATTATGTCAACTTCTTTTGTATTACGTCAACAATGGCGTCTGTATTACGTTAACAACTCCGTCTGTATTACGTCAACAATGACATCTGTATTACGTCACTTTCTTCCGTATTACATCAACAAATTATTTTATATTACAACAATGTACAAAGTCTTCTTTATTACGTCAATAATGGCGTCTCTATTACGTCAACAATGGCGCCTACATTACGTCAACAATGACGTCTGTATTACGTCAACAATGTATTCTATATTACAACAATGTACAAAGTCTTCTTTATTACGTCAATAATGGCGTCTCTATTACGTCAACAATGACGTCCGTATTACGTCAACAATGGCGTCTGTATTACGTCAACAATAGCGTCTGTATTACGTCAACAATGGCGTCTGTATTTTATATTCAACCATGTTGTTTGGTGCTGGAGGTCTAATTATAATTTCGTGTGAATGTTGTGGATATATGTGAAATTGCGTCAAACATTATAGTTAATTATTATTATTATAGGATATTTATATAGCGCACATATCCACGCAACTAGTGCTTGCTCAAGGCGCTGATATTTACGTTAATCACTTCAATGATCATGTAGTATATTTAATGTGTTCCATCTAGGTAATACTGGGCGGTGGACGGCGGGCGTTCATGATGTCCAACCAAACTGACCCGGAGACCTACGGCACGTCCAAACACAGGCAAGATGAGCGGGATCTCATCAAGGTATTGGGGGCATAAACCTCCGGACACCGTTCGTTTCAGAGACCACTCTTTATCAGGAACGGCAGCGTTATACAAAGGCGTTTCTCTAATTACGGTGGCATTGTTACTACTGTGACTTACTCGATTACTACTGTGACTACTCGGGGAACGTTAACGTTACTCTACTTGCTACACGATGGTGTATAATGTTGTAACGAAAGTAGTATGTAATATACAAATCTCTCATCATAACAAAGAAGGTTGTATGTAACACGTAGTTGTATATTGTTAGGAAAGTAGTATGTAATATACAAATGTTTAACGATAATACAGACGGTTGTCTGCAATACACATGTATATTGTTGTAAGGCAAATAGTATGTAAAATACAAATGTCTAACAAATGTAATTAAGGTTGCATGTAATATATATGTATTGCTAGAAAGAAGGTAGCATGGTATATACGAAGGTCTGGTAATTGTAAAGAAAGTTGTGTGTAGTACGCAGGTCCAAATTTCTGTTAAGATTGTTGGAATGGAGAGACTTTTTATGATGGTCTGATCGAAATACCCCCAATCTTACATTTCAGGAATGGCTATATCAGAGTTCGATCGGGGGCAAATCAGCGAAATACGTGTGGAATAAACAACAGCTTGGAGACATCGATCCACAGACAACAGACTATCTGCTGGGTGGGTGAAAAAGGTGGATGGAAGCTCTGATTGTAGGAGAGGCGGCTGGGGTTAAAGTGTTCACGCCGATTCCCCACATGGGTACAATGTGTGAAGCCCATTTCTGGTGTTTCCCGTCGTGATATTGTTGGAATATTGCTCAAAGCGGCGTAAAACTAAACTCACTCACTCTACTTAGGAATGGCGTATTGACCTGGTTGTAGGACCACAACAGATTGATTTTCATGGGACCTTTCGAAAACGTATGAACGACCGAATTTAACTATTTCACCTCCGTTAAAAAAATACTTATGGCGACAATGAAGTATGAACAGTTTGTTTTCAGGAGTCTTGGTCAAAAGCCCCTCTGGACAAAAAAAGCCCCTCGAAAAATGACCAAAAGCTCCATATTTTATGTATTAATGAGAAAATAAGATTAGAGACATGAAAAGTTATATTGCTTCATAATATAATGACCCTATATAATATATTAATTAATATGTTTATTAGCAAATAATTTTAGTGAATAAGATATAAATATCATGAAACAAATGATAGCAAATCAACAAAAAAGGATTAATGACGTGACAAATTGTATTGCACTTAAAATACTTGTATAAAGTATACAAGAGCGATGAAAAAAATTCATTATACTTATATAAAATGTAAAATACTTTTTTCTTACTTAAAATACCGTATAAAATATATTAGAGCAGTTAGAAATGTTAATTATTTTATGAAATATATGAATCGAGGGACTTTTGACAGGAGTGCTCAAATTAGCGAGGGTCTTTTGTCCAGAGGGGCTTTTGGTCGAGGGGCTTTTGTACCAAGGGGCTTTTAGCCGGAACCCGTTGTCAGAACCTTGAGGTCTTTAAAGTGGCAATGTATCTGAAAAAACAATCTTGTTTATCAGTTGCACATCAATACATGAACCTAAAAGCAACTGTCATCTGTTTTATTCTGAAAACATTTTCACAAAAGAAACCTAAACCTGCACACTTCATATTTGACACGACAACGGATAAATTCACTCATCATTATAATTAATATGCCATACAGTTTGACAGACACGTACATACATGAATACATTTTCAATAGACATCGTCAATACTTTTTGCTTGTTTGATCCAGATAACCGGACATCCCGCTATCCGGACGATTTCCGAGTGTAACCAAAATGCCCGGATTAACGGGGTTCGACTGTATATGGTTCAAGCGTACCGAACTAATTCCTGTATTCTTGTTCCGACAACTTTCAAGATAGATCTTTGTAACAACCTTTCTCAATGTGATGTATTGGGATGAAAAAGGGCAATCTAAGGTTACACGATCACTTTTTGCAAATAAGTGGTATCATCACGTTTTGGTATTTATTCATAGACATATACTCGTGATAATATCGAAGTCGTACTATCACCTCAGCTTTATCATGAATTTCTTATGAATATGGAATGGATTTTAACGGTAAATCGTTAAATTTACTTCCCTGTCGCTATTTAAGTGCACGATCATTTATTAAAATTTCATGGTTATCCGAGAGCCATTTAGGGAAGTATTTCTTAGTTGCTTAGCACCGAATACAATTTATTTATTCTTGAAATTGTAAATATGTATGGATTTGTGTTTAGGACTGTTCGAGGCGTCCCACATGCAGTATGATCTAGAGCGGGACACGTCTCCCACCGGGGACCCATCTATTGCCGAGATGACATCGAAGGCGATACAAATCTTGAAGAAAAACGATAAGGGCTTCTTCCTCCTTGTTGAAGGTATTAGCTTTCGAGCTGAAATATATTCTTAAACATCGCTGTGTCGAAGTTGAAGGGACCAACGTAAGTAATTCGAGTTATCCGAGGTTCTACACAGCCACATAATGATGACTTCGAGTTATCCGAGGTTCTACACAACCACAGAATGATGACTTTGAGTTATCCGAGGTTCTACACAGAATGATGACAAAGTAATGAATATGCAGAGCCCAGCTGCTCCTTCGGGACAGCTGTAAGTTCGATACATCGGAGTTCGACACAAGTACAAGTTAAAGTAACAAAGACATTATATCAGAATAGTCTACGTGCTCAAAGGTCAAAGAACATTCCGTTTCTGGTGAATTAATAAAATCAAAGCCTTGGCGTCGGATGAAATGTGTGTCCACCCGTTAATGGCGTCCTTGTGATATGACGTCGGATTTCAGAGCCAGTGCCGATTCTATTGGTTTAAACATAATTTATTCGCATAAAAAGAAAGCAAAGGGTGCATAATATATTTACAAGAAAAGGCTGACTTAAGGCTGCGAGAAAATCATGAAAAAAACCCAGTTGTTTCAGGTGAAATTAATTTTAATATTCTAGATTTGAATTTTTTACACCTTGCAACTGGACAAACGTCCACAAGTGTCCAAACTAAAGACACTACACCGAGAATAGCCAGAGACAAGGGCACGAGAACTCAATTTCTCATGTGTCAACCACAAGCGTCAAGTTCTTGCCCTTGGACGTGATATTTTATGACGCTCTGGGTGCTTGTAACCCACTCAGTTTCAGATGCGATGACTGTCGCACGAAGCGATCAAATTCGTTGCAAAGAGGTTCTACTGGATACTGGCGGTTAAGAGCGCCGAGCGCACGCTGTCGCACATGTTTGCGGTATTGCCTTGTCGTGGTAGAAGTTGACGTTGGCATCTCATAATACACAGTCGCAGATGGGTATTTTAGACCTTATATGATCTTTCAGTGCCAATACATTTTTCTTTTTTGGCTAAAATGTTTAAAATTTCAAATATTAGGGGGTCATTCGTTCGCAAATTGACTTCCTTACCTAGTTATTGAAACAATATATTCTTGCACACAATTAACCAGTCACAGATTAATTTTTACAAACTTTTGCAGGAAAGAGTGATACTGAAATAATGAAATACATTTTATGAACTATAACAACAATTCCTTCAATTTTTAATTGCAAAAAATATACATAAATTTCATAGTAATATGTGATATGCCCTGGTCGGATATCTCGAAGTTCGGATAACTTGATAATTTTTCTTGGTCCCATGAATATCGAGACAACGGTGCTAGACTGTAACTGGGTATGTTTTGTTTTACGGCCTAGGTTAGTTAGTAATCAAATACCTTATGTATCCGAAAATTAATCTTTTAAATTATATTTTTATTATATATTATTTATCAAATTATATTTAAGTTTCTATTTGACACATTATCCTTTAATTACTTATATATTCATGATTTGGTCAGTACTTGTATGTGGAAAGGGTGTACAGATTTGAAAATGCACTTGCAAAGATCCGGGTGGAATTGATCTTCAGTAACCCATGCTTGTCGAAAGAGGCAACTAACGGGATCGGGTGGTCAGGCTTGCTGACTTGGTTGACACATGTCATCGTATCTCATTTGCGTAGATCGATGCTCATGTTGTTGATCACTAGATTGTCTGGTCCAGACTCGCTTATTTACAGACCAACGCCATATACATGGATTATTGCTGAGTGCGTTAAACAAGCACACAAAAACAACTTTGAAATTATTTATTACAATCACCCAGGGGGTCGTATTGATCATGGCCACCACGCCAATTCCGCCAAGAAGGCCTTGCAAGATGTTTTGGCGTTTGATGAGGCCGTCGCAGAGTCGAACCGTTTGGTCAGCATATCGGACACGTTGACGATCGTCACGGCTGACCACTCGCACGTCTTCACCATCGGCGGCTACCCAAACAGAGGGAACAATATTTTGGGTGAGCGATTGATGTTTTTCGCCGCTCTTTAATGGCGTCTGAAGTTATGTAGGCTAATTATTTTCATCACTATGGTGAAACCCAATGATTGTGCTAAATCAGAAAGGGTTCTCGGTCTGCGGATCCTGACACACCTAATGGATACAACTCTGTACCAGAGAGACTACCAGAGTCGTGCGTATCCCAATTGCGTAGATCGATGTTCATGATGTTGATCACTGGATTGTCTGGTCCAGATTCGATTTTTTACGGACCGCCGCCATATAGCTGGAATATTACTAAACAAAACTCACTCATTCCTTGTTACTGTTGAAGGCCTGGTCGACCCCGACTACCCCAATGGTCCTAACGATGGAATGCCCCGCACCACTCTCGTGTACGGCAATGGCCCAAGCGGTCAAAACCGAGTCAATCTGACCGACGTGGACACAAGTAAGTATTGAAATTTCAAGGACGACTAAACTGCGAAGTAAATTAATCAAAAGCTGCCCGTACTAGTCCTCTGAGGCCACTACGGGATCGGGTGGTAACACCCGCTGATTTGGTTGACACATGTCATCGTATCCCACCCGTGAAGGTCCGGGTTAGAATGTACTTTCAGCAGCCCATGCTTGTCGTAATAGGCGACTAACGGGATCGGGTGGTAAGACCCGCTGACTTGGTTGACACATGTCATCGTATCCCACCCGTGAAGGTCCGGGCTAGAATGTACTTTCAGTAACCCATGCTTGTCGTAATAGGCGACTAACGGGATCAGGTGGTCAGGCTCACTGGCTTGGTTGACACGTCATCGGTTCCCAATTGCGCAGATCGATGCTCATGCTGTTGATCACTGGACTGTCTGGTTCAGACTCGACTAATCAAAGACCGCCGTCTTACAGCTGGAATATTGCTGAGTGCGGCATTGAACAACGAACAAACAAGAGTTGTGAAATGTTGACGGAAAAGCTAAGTCTAAGTATACTAGCCACATAAAAAAACTGTGCATTGTCAAAATATTATCCCAGTTGATAAGTACGATAACAGTGTCAAAGGTACATATAAACTTTAATGGAGGGATCATGAGACCATAACAAGTCCGGAGAAGTTCAATTAAAAAGTCAATCACAATGACGTCACGTGTCCACAAGCGGGACAGGGGTCAAACGACCATGTCACAAGCTCAATAACGGGTATGTCCACCATCGGCATTGAGAACAGCAGTGCATCGACGACGCATAGAGCCTATCAAACGTGCAAGGAAGGCTTGTGGGATGTCACGCCAGATTCTCTCAAGTTCTGTTGCAAGGTCAAGGACGTTATCTGGCGGATGAGGACGACGGCGTAGACGTCGATCCATCTCGTCCCAAACATGCTCTATCGGGGAGAGATTCGGTGAATTTGCAGGCCAAGGCAGTAAGTCAACGTTGTTGTGTTGCAAGAAATCCATAGCAACCCTTACCGTATGAGGGCGGGCACTGTCCTGTTGGAATGTTAACCCAGGGCCATGACGTTGCAGAAAAGGAATTGCCACAGGTCGAAGAATCTGATCCCTGTAGCCCACACCAGTTAAGTTGCCCTGAGCAGTCACCAAAGGAGTCCTTTGGCGTGCTGTTATTCCACCCCAAATCATCACGGAACCACCACCAAAGCGATTCCTCTCCAAGACACAGGCCTGTGCATAACGTTCTCTCACGTGTCTATAGGCACGTTGACGTCCATCACTATGGGAAATGTTAAACCTGGACTCATCTGTAAAAACAACATTTCTCCACCGAAACGAGGGTCTGCGGACATGATTTCGGCACCACATTCGGCGAGCTTGTCGATGACGTTGTGTCAGGATAGGCCGTATGGCGGGACGTCGTGGTCTGATCCCGTGATGACGTAAACGTTGTCGAACTGTGTTGGGGTGGATACGGCGAAGTCCTGGGATGGTTCGGGCAGTCATCACTGCAGTCTGAAACCTGTGGCGAAGATGGGTCACCCTTATCCATCTGTCCTGTCTTGGCGTTGTTACACGTGGACGTTCAGAACGTGGCCGATCGATGACGTCATTTGTGTTCTGGTAGCGTCTCACCAGTGCAGAAATGGTGTTCCGGTGGCAGTGGAAATGTGCAGTCACTTGTCGTTAAGACATTCCCCCACGGACCATCCCAATGGCCTCATGACGTTGTGCAGACGTGAGCCTTGGCATGCTATGCGTTTCAATAGCCGTTTAATTTTTTGAACGATCGCAAGGGCAGGGGTTGAGCTTTCCAAAGTGACAGTATTGTGTTCATTTGCTCTGTTTCTCTTTCCCGGAATGCACATGCAACAACGTATTGCACGTCTCAAGGACGAACCCACTGACGTCACGGAACGTGGCACGTGCATGCATGTTGGATACATGTCACTAATCTCCGAGTTTAAATCCTTATGTGTCTACACAGGTTTGATAAATTTAGTATTTAAATTTTTGTATGCACAGTTTCTTTATGTGCCTAGTATATATTTCTTTGGACAAATAGCTTCTGAAAATGCATTGAAATGAAAACCATATTTGGAAAAATACAATCAGGGTAGAACATCAAAAGCTGTTACGTTGTAGGTCTAATTTTGGGGGCGAAGGGGTAGCCTGGGAGTTAAAGCGTTCGCTCGTCACGTCAAACAATATGTGGAACCCATTTTGGTGTCCCCCGTCGTGGTATACCTGGAATATTGCTAAAAGTATCGTAAGTCCATACTCACTCACTCTGATTACAGCGGCAGACAGTTACACTCAAGAGGCGACGGTCAAGATGCCCTATGAGACGCATTCAGGAGAAGATGTGGCGATCTATGCGCGCGGACCCATGGCGCACCTGTTTCACGGCGTGCACGAGCAGCACTATATCGCCCACGTGATGAGCTTCTCGGCCTGTATGGGGCTTTACAAGGGCGACTGCGATCGCGTTACAAGCACAGCAACCACTCTACAGTTCAATACCTCAGTTGTGTTCTTGTTGTCCTTGTTTTTTTGGTCACGTCTATGATCCCTTGAAAAATAAACCCTAAATATCAATTTCTGTAAAGGTTGAATGGTTCCAGGTCGTTGGGCCACCCATATTTGTATTCTCAACTAAATAGCAAGAGAGAGGCGGCCGCAAAATATGTTTTTCGCTGGATGTATAACATATTTATGACATTTATTAAATTTAGAACATTTGATAATTGTCCTCAAATGCATTTATAGTGCCGATCGGGTCACTTCGGAGACATATGATAAATAAATGTGACAAAAACAGGTTGGGTTAGTTAGGCTCACGGACTTGTTTGATGCATGACACTTTAGAAGATGGGAAGTACAATGTTGGCAAACTTTATGGATAATATTAAAAGAAAAGTTATAAAGTTTGTAAATATTGGTTGACACATGTCACCGTATCCCAAATGCGTAGATCGATGCTCATGCTGTTCATCACTGGATTGTCTGCACACGAAAAACTGTTTATAGTATCCTTAAGCCCGCTCGCTCACTCACTCACTCACTCACTCACCCACTGATGTGTGCTTGTTTAGCGTGTTTAGCGTTCATTTTTGTGTATGCAAGTACGTCACAGCCTTGCACTAGAATTTGCCAAATTGCCTATATCAGTAGAATATTGTCCTTATCCTTAATATATATCTTCGTTTTTTATCCTGTGTCGAGCTAGATTGTCTATATGCCTAATATCTTATTCATTGACGGTCGTAAAATAAAAAGCTTTGTTTTGACCTTGACTTTGATCCGAAGCCTTGCTACCAGCGTTGCGTCGCAAACAGTGGTAGTTATACAGATGCAGTCAAACACCGTGGTGTCGAACTTGGAGGCATCTACATAAATAGTTCGAGTTATCCGAGGTTCTACACAACCACAGAATGATGACTAAGTAAGGAATACGCAGATTTTACTTCGAGACAACCTTAGTTCGATACATCGAAAGTTCGACACAACGATGTTTGATCGTACTTCAATTATGAGTGAGTGAGTGAGTGGGTTGCTGAAGAGCTATTCTACCCCTGATCTACACGGGCACTTCAATCATGATCTTCGTGGCATTTCCCCAAGTTTGTGAAGATATTTTTTTATAATTAAAGGTACTATAAATTAGTTATGTGAAGCCCATTCCTGGTGTCCACCGCCGTGATATTGCTGGTATATTGCTAAAAGCGGCGTAAAACCCAAACTCACTCACTCACTATTAATTAGTTATATGAAGTCTCTGCATAAGAAACATTGTTAAATTTTGTACGTACAATAGCACCTACTGATGATGTGGGACACGCAGTGCAGAGTTATGTCCCTTGGGCACGCCAGAAACCTCATTCGTGACCAACTCGTGTTATTCCGGGACAAACCGAATAACGGTTACGGAAAGGGGCGAGTGGTGACGAATGTAGGGGGACGAGTCTTCTTGGAGGTAACGGAAGGGGCGAGTGGTGACGAATGCAGAAACCTATGATTGTGTGTTGAATCTTGGTTTGACTCGTTTATGTGTCTTAGCAGCGTTAAACAATCTGTCCACGTGGTACAGGAAAGAGATCTTATAATTGACCACGATTGTGGAGAATCATCACAAACATGCCAAAAATGTACTGTCTATTTATTTTATTATTTTTTAGGTAAAAAAGTTTTGAAAAGCAATGTTGTGTTTTATGACGCTGAAACTACAACTCACCCCAAGACAGTTTCGTGTCGTATTTTTTGAACACCCGGTGTCGTCACTTTACGATAGTAGGCAGCAAGAGTTGTATGGTCCCCATGGAGTTGAGATTGAAAATACGATTAGCCGTTGTCATGGGCATCCAATGATCAAGGGAAAACAAAGCGCCTTTGAGCAGTTGTACTGGATATCGGCGCTATACAAACGTTTGTATGCATGATTCATGTGCATTTGATACACATTAGGTTACGTACAGTTATAACGAACACCTTTATAACAAAAAGGCGGATATAACGATGTTTTTGTCCCGACCGCTAGCTGTATGCTTTAGTCGAACTGAGTATACCGAACTACGGTTATAACGAACTACGATTATGAGAAACCAATTTGTGGTCATTTGCGTTTGTTATAACGGCAGTTTACTTCAATCGAAACATTACAAAGGGCCACCACTATGTCACAGCTTTGCTTTGTTTTATCTTATCAGAATGCCTTGCATTTTCACAGGAGCATTAAAGGCTTAGATTAGCTTTTACACCTGTTATTTTTAAAGGAAAAAATATTAGTTGCGTCTTTGGTGTGAAACTCCGTTTGCTATAGCCGTAAATTCGTCATTCATAATTAACATTTGTGTGAATCGTATATGATAATACAGTGAATCATTCGAGACATTCGTTCTTGTTAGTACTTTATATCAGTGTTCGTTACAACCAGATTCTGCTATATACAAAATGGGCATATTAACGAATCCCTTTAAACGGCCTATTTGTTTGTGTGAGTGAGTGAGTGTGAGTGAGTGCGTTTGGTTTTACGCCGATTTTAGCAATAAACCAGCAATATCACGGCGGGGGACTCCAGAAATGGGCTTCACACATTATGTCCATGTGGGGAGTCGAACCCGGGTCTTCGGCGTGACGAGCGAACGCTTTAACCACTAGGCTACCCCACCGCACCTAAGAACAAAGAACTGTTAAACACCATGAAGTAATATTCACTAATTGGTATGTGGAGAATGTGCTATCAAATTTGAAAGAATACAAAACACAGGCAGAGATTCCTTATAATTAATTGCGATTACCTCGTTCCTTAGAAACAACAAATAACGCATACCGTATTTGCAATATATTCCAATGGAAACATCTTAATAAAGGAATGATGAATTTATTTTTATTTTCCCATATTTTTCTTTCTTTCAGTCCAAACCTTTCACTTTGCCTAAAGGGAATCGACAATTTGGAGAAGTATCTTTTCTTTGGTTGTCTTATACTGTAATTGACTTTTGTCGTTTAGACATGAGATTCCCTGATGATCTTAACTTCAGACACAGCTCTATCCAGGAATGTATTTTCTAGTTTCCATTAGTTTTACTTGAAACCGGTTTTTCTTTGATGTATTGTTCTTAGTATTAGATGTTTTTTCTTTGGAAACTGTGTGAGTTCCTCCAAGGTTCGAGCGGCAGCATAGACACAACAATTAACTTCATGTAATGAACAGTCCGCAGAAAGTTTCATAGAAATAATGTCATTTAATAAATTAATTTCATGTTTGGGAAAAGATTCAGTTGTTTGTTTAATTGGCCTCCGTTTTTCTACAGGTATATCAGATATTTCATCATAAATAGAATGAAACAAAATATACACAGGGTTTTCGGAAAGATCTGCAACTGAGGAAGAGGAAGAGTGAAGGTCCGAAATTTCGGGGCGAATTGGCTCTATGCCGGAGGAGTTTCCTTCAGGAAGAGGAAAGAGGTTGACGCGGACGTCCATTAGAAGTTGTGGGTCTTCTGTCACTTGAGCATTCTGCTCATGTAAAGGTTCCTGACGGGCATCAGTTGTTGGTTGAACTGGCTCACGGCGCATGAGATTTTTAAGACGCCGGAATTGGTCTCGAAGATTTTGCTCCAACAGGTAAGCATACATGGGCATAGCATTGTCCCAATGCAGCTTAAGCGACTTGTTATTGATGCGTAGATTATCAGGCCATCCTGTCGCTTTCGCACACTCAAGTAGTGTGAATTTGAGATGATTTGACCAAGATATTCTTGGTCGGGTTCTGTGCCTTTCCTTGTGCCTTCTCCAGTGTTGTTTCTTTACCGGAGGAAGGCTGACAGGGCTGCGGAAGTGAAAGATTGAATTCTTCTTGGCTTGTAGTAACCCAGTAATTTCCCAGCTTCGGGGGTCAGCCCTAACTGGACGATGTAAGTTTAGTTCAGGGAATATAATTCCCCTATCTAGGCCCACCACGAAGAAGCGTACATCATCGGGCCCTTATTATTATTTATTATTGTTATTGTGTTTTACAGATTAAAGATGAAAATGCAGCAGAGAGGGTTCGGGTGATTATTATTATATGTTTTACAGATTAAAGATAGTATGCAGCAGAGTGGGTTCGGGTGATCCTGACACAGTCAGGCTGGTTAGGCTCATCATCCGCTCAGGGCCCTCGCCCCCTCTACAGCGAATGGGACTTCTCCCAGGAAACACGGCCTAGTCGAACCCACCAAGAACTTTCCGGATAATATGAAGGCTTCCCAACACTGCAGCATTCTGCATTACCCAGAGTGTCAGAAGGCTGTGCTCCCGGTGGAGAACCCAGGCACTCTCCTGATCTGCGCCTAGTGATCAGGAGGTACCAAACCTAGGGCACAGAGAACAATGGGGAGCCTGGCGACAGTGTACTTGGGATGCAAGCGAGACATTTCAAAGGCGAGGTCCGCATATTAATCATGCTTTTCCTGAATCTTGCCAATCACATTGCTGTCAAAAGGGACAGGAAATTCAATGATATAAATAAATTCATTGGCTTTATCAAAGAGGACAAGATCAGGTTTGTTGGCTGGAATTCTCCTCAGGCGCTATATGGGCCTGTTCCACAGACGTTTGAAAGCATCATTTTCCATGACGCCCTGGACATGTTCAGGGTCGTACCATGGATGGACCTCGGAATCAAAGCCACAGGCATGGCGAAGACAGTAGTAAAGGCAACGAGCCATGCCACCATGTCTCTTAAGATATGTTGTTTGTGCTAAAGAAGGGCATCCACTAACAAGGTGTTGGACAGTCTCTGTACATTCATTACACAGTCGACATTTCATATTGATATTTTCTTTAAGAATCACATTTTGGCGATTACGAGTGACTGGTCCTGAGCAGCAAAAAGGAAGCCCTCAGTTTCACATTTGAGACCAGCCGACTTCATCCAGGCGAAGGAGTCGGTGGGAGTGCTATTCTGTTCCACACACTGCATGTAGACACGATGCAATGGCTTCTCAGAAAGCTTCTCCACAAATGACCGACTCGGGGCAGACTTGGCAAAGGACTTCACCTGGTTTACTCCCATCGTTGTACCGTCCAGCAGTGCATCGCCATCAACAAAATCA